GAATCTTGCAAAAGCTAATTTTATTTCTGTCATCAAAGTCAGTATTTCAGCTGCTTTCATATTTTCTAGTAACCGAATTGATAAGTTATCAAGTCAGAATCAATAAGTTACTAACTAGAGCACAAAATTGTATTGTAAAATACCAGAAATTTCAGTTATGACTGACAAATTCCAATACAATTTTTTATTAATTAGAAAATTTCAGTTACTTATCACATAATAAATTATATATGTAATAAATCATATTCATAATAAATTATATTCGTAATAAATTATATTCGTAAAAATATGTAGTATTTGGTATATTAAATTTTTGTTATTAATACATAATATGCACGTAAGTTTATATATGTATATAAGTTCTTTTAAAAAAATTTTTTTTTAACTAATGGATCAAAGTGAAAGTAACCAAAGCAATCAAAATCATCATGAATATATTCAAGACAACTATGAAAGCGATTATAATTATGAAAATGACCAAAGTTACCAATACGATTATGAAAGTGATCAAAGTAACCAAGAATTAACATTATCTAATAAGAATAAAAAATTAAAAACTATAACGAAATCCAAACCTGCTTTCAAAAATTCTTGGCTTAATGAATTTAGATAGCTTCAATTTGACAAAATCTCTCAATGAATGTTTTGTAAATATTGTAAATGTTACAATAAATCAAACGCTTTTAGAAGTACGGGATCTGTAAATTTTGGTCAAAAAAGTTCTGTTAAAAAACATGCATCTTCGGAGCAACATAAATAGATTCTAAATCTATAATAATTCCATTCTGACATATGACATGCATATTACTATTAGAATTTGGAATTATAGCTGATCAGTATAGTATGGCATTTAATTTTGGTCTGTAATATACTGATCTGGTCACCCATGCCATTCTTAATATCATTTTAGTATGAGTTACATTGATCGTGCAAAATTTATTTATTACATGCATGAATATGCAATGTCTAATTCTATGCAACAATCTAATTTTTTTAATAGGGATGCAGTCTATTCTAAACTGATAACTTGCAATTAGTCTTAAATCCAGTTTAAAGCAGAAAAAAAAAATCTATTTTCAGATTTAAGACCAGTTAATTTTTAAAACTTTGAACTAAAGTGATCTGATTGGACCAGGCAGGACTATTAACATCCCTAAAGTTTAATTTGTTCTGATCTCTGATAAAGATTAAACCAGTTTATTAATATTTTAATTCTAACCTTGACTTTCGAAACAATTTTTAGTTATATACAGTTATATCTCTCCAAACTAAAGCTGATTAACTGAATACTTAATAAACTTCGTGAGAGCAAAACACAAAGCTTTAAAACATTTATAAATTTTATTAGTAAGTCGGTTTATAGACACAATGAACTTTTAAAATGAACTTCTTGAAAATTTTTATGAAAGATTCAGTATAAGCAGAGTTGAGTTGACTGTATTTAAACTTCAATCATTTATTGTTTATTAGAAAACTTAAACCATAA